CAAATACGTTTCGCCGGCCCTGCAACAAGATAGGTTTTTTGGTGATCACATGATTGGGCTTCAGTTGTCACACGTTGATTTAAGCAATTATGTGCTTTAACATTAGTGATCATGCTATCATATTTTATTGGTCACATGATTTTCCTGAAGTAATCACAAGACATTTGTATCATTCTTGCATTGTACCTTTCTTTTGGTAAATTCCTTATGTTTTGAGACGCTTTTGCGTCGCTGAATTCATTTGGTTTAGAAGTGCCTATGATTTTGTTTTCATGTTGCTCAACTCATTAATAAGTTACACATAGTTGCAGATGTCATTCAAACAGCTAACTGCATGAAAATAGTATTCATTACAAAACTGTTTTGATAACTGTCGGATATTGAAGAGTGAACGCAGATAGTACACCATTTTGTTGTCTGCCTCGTGTATCAACTCTAACTTAGATTCCGGGGGGCCTGGGTCTTACATATGTGATAATAATTATAATCATAAAACATTACATCATTCCCCCTTTTTTTTGACAACATAAACATAACATAACGTGTTTGTTCTTTGAGTCCTGTTCTCTTTGCATAGTATTTAAAAATAAAAATAAAGAAATAAAATAAATTCTCCTCCTAGTCTGTTGCTACAACTGTTCCATATCTTTCAGGCATTCGCCTTTGTCTAAGAGGATATCTGTTTTCTCTGTTATTCTCTTCGACTGTTTCTGTTCTTTTGTGATTGTCATCATCAGACAAATCATCATCATCATCATCTTTCTTACTAAACATTTTGAAAAAGCTAATATTTCTAGTGACTTTCCTTCCATCTTGTCTTTCTGCTGTTACTCTGGAACCTTTACGATATATAACTTTGTAAGTAGTGCTTTCAAAGTTTGCAGAAAACTTGTTCTTTTTATCTTGTTTTAACAAAACTGTATCACCAACTTTGATATCAGAAATCTTTGTGTGTCTTCTTTTGTCTGCATAGCTTTTCATCTTCTCTTTCCCTACTGCATCATTTTCCTGAGCTTCTCTGTGTCTTTTAGATTTACTTGTCTTGATTAAACAAGGTAGTTTCCCTCTAATGACCCTATTGTATAACAGTTCTGAAGGTGCAATCTTTGTGGTTGCATGTGGGGTGGATCTATAACTCAATAAAAATCTTTGAAGTTCTTGTCTCCAATTTCTATTTTCTATACATGCAGCTCTAATTGCTTTTCCTAGAGGTTGGTTAAATCTCTCTACCTCTGAGTTCCCTTGGGGCCATAATGGTGTAGAAGGGTCAAACTTTATTCCTAGAGTCATCAAGTATCTTTTAAAATCATCACCATTAAATGGTGGACCATTGTCTGTTACTATTTCTTCAGGAAGTCCATGCATTGCAAAAACTTGATCTAATTTTGGAATAATGGTTGAAGCAGCAGTAGATTTTACAATTTCTGTTATGGGGAATCTAGAATAAGCATCTACAATAACAAGTACATACTCACTACTTGGAAGTGGTCCATAAAAGTCAATATGCAGTTTTTTCCAAGGTCCAGATGGCATAGGTCTCATTCGCAATGGTTCTGGTGCTTTTTGTGTTCCCACTGCTTGACAAGGTAAACAGCTATTAATCTCTTCTGTTACCAATTTTTCAATAAATGGAAACCAAACTTTTTCTCTGATCAGGGCTTTAGTCTTAGCAAGGCCCTGGTGACCCTCGTGAGCTAGTTTTACTGATCTTTTCCATAGTGATTTAGGCATGACAATTTGGTTTCCCCGCAAAATAATTCCATTTGCATGATTTATTGTCAATGAATCTTTGGCTAACTTGTAAGGTACTAAAAACTGGTTACTCCAATCTCCTGTTTTAATTGCTTTTATGACTGCTTGGAGTGTCCCATCCCTTTCTGTCTCTCTTTGTACTTCTTCTATGGTCATGGCTTTTGGTATCGCATTTATTGTTATATATCTCACATACTCATCTGCCATGTTTTCTTTGACACTGACTGTTGTAGGATGTCTTGACATGAAGTCAGCCGGATTATCTTTTCCAGGCTTGTAAATAACTTTGAAACAATATTGCTGTAAGCGGAGCACCCATCTTTCAATGCGTAATGATGGTTTTGATTTAGGGTTCCCATAAATCACCTCCAAAGGCTTGTGATCTGTTATCAGGTTGAAACTTTTTCCATAAAGATACATATGAAAATGCTCAGTACCCCACACAATACTAAGTGCTTCTTTCTCAGTTTGTGAGTATCGACGCTCCACAGGGGTAAGTGCTCTACTGGCATATGCAATCACTTTTTGAGGCTCATCTTTGTTTGATTGTGCAAGAATTGCAGAAATACCAATGGGACTGGCATCTACAATCAGGTATGTTTCTTTGTCAATATCAAAATATGTCATAACTGGACTGTCTGTCAGAACATCTTTGAGTTTCTTAAATGCTTGTGAGTGTTCCTTCTCCCATTTGAATACAATGTTTTTGTGAGTTAATCTTCTCAGTGGTTCTGTTATATCTGCAAAATTTGGTATGAACTTTGCACTGAAATTTGCCATTCCTAATAAACTTCTCACTTCTGATGCATTGTTTGGTATAGGAGCATCTACTAAATCTGCAATCTTCTTTTGATCTGGTTTGACACCATCTTCTGAAAATACCATACCAAAGAATGAAAGTTCTGGTTGTAAAAATTTACATTTGTCTCTGTTTATTGTGAGCTTTCTTGCCTTTAATCTTGTAAGACATTCATTCAATGCTTTATCATGCTCTGCTCTGGTTTTGCCAAAAATGATAATATCATCTGCTAAGTTTCTGACATTATCTATACCCTTTAAAGCTTCTTGTAATGTATGTTGAAATAACTCAGCAGCTGCATTCGTGCCATAATTCAATCTTTTGTATTGGAATAAACCAATGTGCGTGCTGAATGTAGTGATATATCTGCTATCTTTGTGCAATTCTAATTGATGGTAAGCTTGACTAAGGTCAATCTTTGAAAAGAATTTGGCTCCATTTAATTGTACCATAATTTCGTCAACTGTGGGCATGACATGCCTAACTCTTTTTATGGCTGTGTTTGCTGAACGCATATCAACACAAATCCGAATTGACTTATTGTCCTTCTTTGGTACTGCAACTATCTGGGATATCCAAGGGGTTGCTTGCCCCTCTGGCACTCTCTCTATTATTCCTTGTGCTTCCAGACTTAACAATTCTTCTTCTACTTGCTTTCTGATGTGGAATGGTATGCGTCTGGTATTTTGAACAACTGGAGTTACATTTTCATCAATGTTTAATTTAATTTGAACTCCATCTAACTTTCCTATTCCTCTAAAAATTTCTTTATTTGCAAGTAAAGCAGCATCAACTGATTTATCATGGGTAGATCTGATAGGAATCCATGAGCAGGTGGAAGCAATTTGTGGTTTCACATTTTTATCTTTCACTTTTGAAACCATTGGATTGATATGAAATGTAACAAGACCAAGTTCTTGGGATGTCTCTGAACCTAATAGTGAACCAGAGTTCCCTTCTGTGACATAAAATGTGGCTACAGTAATGCGCTTTTTGGTCTCCACAGTGGCTTGGAATTTTCCTAACAATTTCACAGGGCTGTTGCTGTTGTATGGGTACACTTTAACTGTTGTTTTCTCTAGTTTAGGATCTGATGGTATCTGACTAAATGTTTCTTCATCAAGAATATTTACTGAGGCTCCTGTGTCCACAAGTAAATCACATTTGTAATCACTGATTTTGGCAGTAACAGCGTTACCAGGTTTTTTCTTCTGTTTCACAGCATAAAGGTAATCAAAATCTGAATCAGAATCACTTTGTGCTTTATTCACTGATTTTGTTGTAATTGGCCTAACATGTCTTTTGAAAGGCTGTGTTTTCCTTGGCACTTGTTGAGTTTTGCTCAACAATACTTTGCAAAGTGGTTCTTTTTCCCACATTTATGACATATCTTACCAGCAGCTGGACAGGTCTGGTTTTTATGAGGGTAAGATCCTCCACACTGATGACATTTCTTTGTTTGTACATGTCCTTTCTTGTGCTGACTTTGTATTACACGATGCACTTCTTGCTTTATTTCAGTGTTACCTTCAATGCTACTTGCTTGCTGTGTACTTGTTTCATCTCTTTGGCCATCTAATAACATTTCTTTCAATGTGTATTTTGGATCTCGTAAAGCTTTCTTTCGTAAACGACTTGATGATCCATTTGTGACAATTTGTAACAATATTTCGAACTCTTTTCTATCCCCAAAGTCACAACGTGATGCTAAGTTCTGTAATCGAACATGGAATTGACCTAAAGTCTCATTTGGCTCTTGTCTGGCCTGGCGAAATAAATATGTTTTATGAAGCAAGTTCTTCTGTGGCTCAAAATGTCCCGTGAGCTTTTCTAACGCTGTTTTGTAATCATCTCCATTATCTGGGATTGTATTCAGGATATCTGCAACTGGTTCTCCAGCCAAATAAATCAACAGGGCTCTTTTTCTTTTATCATCTTTGATATCAGCAGCGACCAAGTACTGCTCGAATCTTGAAACCCAACGTTTCCATGCGTTACACGCGTTGGCAGGGTCTGACACTGCATCAAACGAAGGCACAGGTTGTATTAAACCAGCTCCTGCCATTTTTTTTTTCTTTCCTAGTTTATCCTCGTCGCCATTGTCGGATATTGAAGAGTGAACGCAGATAGTACACCATTTTGTTGTCTGCCTCGTGTATCAACTCTAACTTAGATTCCGGGGGGCCTGGGTCTTACATATGTGATAATAATTATAATCATAAAACATTACAATAACTCAATTTATAGTTTTATGAAAATTTCCGTAAATTTGGTATAATCACATCCCTTTTTCGGGCGCATCCGGCGGTCCGCTCCAGGGTCATGGGATATATTTTCCAAACGAGGCTTCAACAGCAACATTCATGAAAGGTCCCAATGTGGGTGGTCTAAAAGACGAAATGGTGAAGGATTACACCATGCCTTGACTAAGAAAAGTCATATTATTTAGGATGTGAACTGCCAGAGAACAAGAAAGCTGCAAGTGCAACCAGCCTGAAAGAAACACATCAAGGTTGCCTTTACTTGGTTGCATGCTGTGATAACGGAACGACACCACTCAGTATCAGCGACAGCATCAGCAGGAAAGGAGAGATTATTTGCGCAAAGGATCCAGAAGTAAGAATATTGCACTGAACGGTGTTTGTTAGAAATGAAAAGAGCATTACATTGCAAACCAGCACAGAAATGCTGGTTTTTTCAGAACCTCGCCTATGTTGATAGGCTTCACTCTTTGTATACAAGAACAAGATAATTTTTGCCAAGGGGTGATGTTCTTAATTTCTGGATAACTTTAGGTATTCTTTTACTCACTTATACTTATACTTATACTTATACAATTTTTGCATAGGCTCATAGCCTGTAGCAAAATCCTACAGGGACCACACAGGTAAAAGGGAGGGCTAAGGGGCAGTTATTGAAATAATGAAATTTAAGTCAAACCAATCCACTAAGGGATTCCACTAAGGACTGGAAACCAATTAGAGCAGGATTTGTTAACCATTACACATTGACGACTATCAGATAGGAAATCCTGTATCCACCCTAGCACATTTCCTCTAATACCATAGTTGTTAAGTTTCCATAACAATCTTTGACGAGGGACAGTTTCAAATGCTCTTGCGAATGTAACCAAGTATGTAACATCTAGTGCATGCACTTCATCAAATATTTTAGTCCAGCGGTCAATTACTTCTAATAGATTTGTTGTACAGGATCTACCTCCAATAAACCCTTGTTGACATTCAACTAAATGCTTTCTCATGTGGTTCAGCACAGCCTCCTTAACAAAATGCTCCATTACTTTGCATACTGTTGATGTCAGCGTCACTGGTCGATAATTGCTTCTGTCCAACCATGAAATGCCTTTGAAAATGAAAAAAAAGTGAAATGTGTTAATAAATTCATGAGATATGACCAATAGAAGTTTTAAAATCTGCTATCAGGTCATAGTAGGCCTGGCTCATATAAATATTAACAGTGACCAAACTGCAGAGATTTGAATGGGGAATAGCTTGGCAGGTGTTAAGTGACCAGATCTCAGCTGATTACAATTAGCTGATTTGCTGCACTTAGAGATTTTTAATGAAGCTTTTATGGTATGTGATCCAAATTTAGGAATTCAAATATATATTTTGTGACATCATCACTTAAAAACCTTGTTTGGCAGCTCCCTATTTTCATGGGATCACTTATATTTTACTTTTGCTTGCAAAGGAGCAGTTATGTTATGCTCCTACATGGTCTTGGCAAGGTTTTTCAGAATCCAGTTTGTTCAAGGAAATCAACTGGTATAAAATAGCTTGATTTATCGCATTGTATGGGATCTAATCATTTAGTTTTGTTGATACTTTTTGACACTATTATCATCTCCGCTATAGTGGAAAGAAACAAGGTTGTTTGCACCATAGTGGATATGGATAATAATCACTTTGCATATCCAATTGAAAAATTCTCTTTTCAAACTTAGAGGTCTCGTGCTGAAAAAGTGATTTTTTAGCTTTGCAATGATGTTTAATATTAGCTAGCAAAAACAAACACTTTCTTTTTAACACATCTAGTTCAACATCTCTACTATATATTTATGCATAGCTCAAATCTATGTATTCTTTAAGTTCATTCTCTATATCTCCACTCTAACCTTTCATCATCAAAATCGAGTTCTTCAATGCGAACAAGATGTTTTCCTCCAACCTTTTCCAATATGAAGCCTAAAACAAGATTCTCTGTTGATCTTTTTATTTTGATTTTGATCAGTTTAAAAAAAGGCGAAAGCAAAATTGCAAAATTTTTAGCTTTTACAAAGTTTACTTACGGGTCCTTATATTCAAAGATATAACTTAGAAATGTATTGAAAACTCTCGGAATGCTGTTCTGAACCTATTTCAAGCATTTCAGGTTGTTTTGAGTGAATGCAAAATTATCAGATTTTTCAAATTTTTTTACAGGTCCCAGGTCACAGATTCTTTGAAACATAACTTAGTATTCTTTTTCCACATGACCTAGAACTTCGTCAAAAATTCTTCAAATGGTGTTTCAAGCGCTTCAGGTTGTTTTGATTTAAAAAATTGCAAAATTTTCAGATTTCTGAAATTTTTTTTTAGGTCTGTTGTCAAAGATTTTTTTGAAAAATGAATCAGTTCTTCTTTTGCTAGACTTGCCCTCGCAACCTCTCAAAAACTCTTCTTTCCGTGTTTTTAATATATCATAATCCGTTTGGTTATTTGGAGTGAAAGTTATTATTTTTAAAAGATTGCATTTTTCCAATCTTTTTGCAGCAAAAGTGCATTGTTTTTTAATCTTAACGAATTTTTTTCAGATGTCACTTGGAAGCTCACAGATTTGTTTTCAAATGACTTTATAAAGGTATTTGACATTTTTTCGTTTATTTCCATCCATATTCTTTATTTGCAAAATTTTGAAATTTTCTAAGTTTTTTTACAGGTTTTTTACAGGTCACAGATTTTTTCGAAAAATGACTAAGCTCTTGTTTTCCTCATATGGCCTAGAAATTAATCGAAAACGCTCCGAATGGTGTTTCTACCATATTTGGAAATATTTCTGGCTGTTTCGAAAGAAAAAAACTTTTTGCAAAATTTTCAGATTTTTGAAGATTTTTTACAGGTCCGGGGTCACAGATTTTTTCAAAAAATGACTTAGTTCTTTTTCTCCTCATATGACCTAAATATTCATCCAAAACACTCCGAATGATGTTTCTAGCGTATTTTCAGGCATCTATGGTTGTTTCGAGAAAAAAACTTTAATAAGAAATTTTCAGATATTTTTACTTTTTACCGATCAATGGTCCAGATTTTTGAAAGATCACTCGGTGCTTCATTTGCAATACATGCCCTGCAACGTTTCAAGATAACTTTTTTTCCTGTTTTAATATATCATGAGCCGTTAGGTTGTTTGGAGTGAAAAATTTTGTTTTTTTCATGCCTATTTCTCAATCTTTTTTGCAGCAAAAATGCATCGTTTTTTAATCTTTACAAATATTTTTCAGATGTCACTTGGATGCTGACAGACGTGATTCACAATGACTTCAGAAAGGTATTTGACTTTCTTTTATTTATTTCCATCCATATTCTTTATCTACCAAATTCTCAGATTTTTGAAGATTTTTTACAGGTCTGCGGTCAAAGAATTTTTCAAAAATGACTAAATTCTTGTTTTCCTCATATGGCCTAGAAATTAATCCAAAACACTCCGAATGGTGTTGCTAGCATATTTTCAAGCATTTCTGGTTGTTTCGAGGGAAAAAAATTTTTGCAAAATTTTCAGATTTTTGAAGATTTTTTACATGTCCGGGGTCCCAGATTTTTTCAAAAATGCTTTAGTTCTTTTTGTCCTGATACGGCCTAGAAATTAATCCAAAACTCTCCGAATGGTGTTGCTAGCGTATTTTCAAGCATTTCTGGTTGTTTTGAGACAAAAAAATTTTTTGCAAAATTTTAAGATTTTGAAGATTTTTTACAGGTCCGGGGTCACAGATTTTTTCAAAAAATGCCCAAGTTCTTTTTTTCCTGATACGGGCTAGAAATTAATCCAAAACTCTCCGAATGGTGTTGCTAGCGTATTTTCAAGCATTTCTGGTTGTTTCGAGAGAAAAAAAGTTTTTGCAAAATTTTAAGATTTTGAAGATTTTTTACAGGTCCGGGGTCACAGATTTTTTCAAAAAATGCCTCAGTTCTTTTTTTCCTGATACGGGCTAGAAATTAATCCAAAACTCCCCGAATGGTGTTGCTAGCGTATTTTCTAGCATTTCTAGTTGTTTCTAGAGAAAAAGAATTTTTGCAAAATTTTAAGATTTTGAAGATTTTTTACAGCTCCGGGGTCACAGATTTTTTCAAAAAATGCCTAATTTCTCTTTTTCCTGATACGGGCTAGAAATTAATCCAAAACTCTCCGAATGGTGTTGCTAGCGTATTTTCAAGCATTTCTGGTTGTTTCGAGAGAAAAAAATTTTTGGAAAATTTTCAGATTTTTGAAGATTTTTTACAGGTCCGGGGTCACAGATTTTTTCAAAAAATGACTATGTTCTTTTTCTCCTAATATGGCCTAGAAATTCATCCAAAACACTCCGAATGGTGTTTCTAGCGTATTTCCAGGCATTTCTAGTTGTTTCGAGAGAAAAAAAATTTATGTAAAATTTTCAGATTTTTGAAGATTTTTTACAGGTCCGGGGTCAGAGATTTTTTCACAGTTCTTGTTTTCCTCATATGGCCTAGAAATTCGTCGAAAACTCTCCGAATTGTGTTGCTAGCGTTTTTTCAAGCATTTCTGGTTGTTTAAGAGAAAAAAATTTTTGAAAATTTTCAGATTTTTGAAGATTTTTTACAGGTCCGGGGTCACAGATTTTTTCAAAAAATGACTAGTTCTTTTTCTCCAATATGGCCAAGAAATTCATCCAAAACACTCCGAATGGTGTTTCTAGCGTATTTTCAAGCATTTCTGGTTGTTTCGAGAGAAAAAAAGTTTTTAAAATTTTAAGATTTTGAAGTTTTTTAAGGTCCGGGGTACAGATTTTTTCAAAAAATGAGTTCTTTTTTTCCAATACGGCCTAGAAATTAATCCAAAACTCTCCGAATGGTGTTCAGCGTATTTTTAACATTTCTGGTGTTTCGAGAGAAAAAAATTTTTGGAAAATTTTCAGATTTTTGAAGATTTTTTAAGGTCCGGGGTCAGAGATTTTTTCAAAAATGACTAAGTTCTTGTTTTCCTCATATGGCCTAGAAATTCATCGAAAACACTCCGAATGGTGTTGCTAGCGTATTTTCAAGCATTTCTGGTTGTTTCGAGAGAAAAAAAGTTTTTCCAAAATTTTAAGATTTTGAAGATTTTTTACAGGTCCGGGGTCACAGATTTTTTCAAAAAATAACTAAGTTCTTTTTTTCCTGATACGGCCTAGAAATTAATCCAAAACTCTCCGAATGGTGTTGCTAGCGTATTTTCAGGCCTTTCTAGTTGTTTCGAGACAAAAAAAATTTATGTAAAACTTTCAGATTTTTGAAGATTTTTTACAGGTCCGGGGTCACAGATTTTTTCAAAAATGACTTAGTTCTTGTTTTTCTCATATGGCCTAGAAATTCATCGAAAACACTCCGAATGGTGTTGCTAGCGTCTTTTCAAGCATTTCTGGTCGTTTCGAGAGAAAAAAAGTTTTTCCAAAATTCTAAGATTTTGAAGTTTTTTACAGGTCCGGGGTCACAGATTTTTTCAAAAAATGCCTCAGTTCTTTTTTTCCTGATACGGCCTAGAAATTAATCCAAAACTCTCTGAATGGTGTTGCTAGCGTATTTTCAAGCATTTCTGGTTGTTTCGAGAGAAAAAAAGTTTTTCCAAAATTTTAAGATTTTGAAGATTTTTTACAGGTCCGGGGTCACAGATTTTTTCAAAAAATAACTAAGTTCTTTTTTTCCTGATACGGCCTAGAAATTAATCCAAAACTCTCCGGATGGTGTTGCTAGCGTATTTTCAGGCCTTTCTAGTTGTTTCAAGAGAAAAAAAGTTTTTGCAAAATTTTAAGATTTTGAAGATTTTTTACAGGTCCAGGGTCACAGATTTTTTCAAAAAAGGCCTAAGTTCTTTTTTTCCTAATATTGCCTAGAAATTCATCCAAAACTCTCTGAATGGTGTTCCTAGCGTATTTTCAAGCATTTCTGGTTGTTTCCAGAGAAAAAAAGTTTTTCCAAAATTTTCAGATTTTTGAAGATTTTTTACATGTCCGGGGTCACAGATTTTTTCAAAAAATGACTAAGTTCTTTTTCTCCCAATATGGCCTAGAAATTCATCCAAAACACTCCGAATGGTGTTTCTAGCGTATTTCCAGGCATTTCTAGTTGTTTCGAGAGAAAAAAATTTATGTAAAATTTTCAGATTTTTGAAGATTTTTTACAGGTCCGGGGTCACAGATTTTTTCAAAAATGACTAAGTTCTTGTTTTCCTCATATGGCCTAGAAATTCATCGAAAACACTCCGAATGGTGTTGCTAGCGTATTTTCAAGCATTTCTGGTTGTTTCGAGAGAAAAAGAATTTTTGAAAAATTTTCAGATATTTGAAGATTTTTTACAGGTCCGGGGTCACAGCTTTTTTCAAAAATGACTAAGTTCTTGTTTTCCTCGAATGGCCTAGAAATTCATCGAAAACACTCCAAATGGTGTTGCTAGCGTATTATCAAGCATTTTTGGTTGTTTTGAGAGCAAAAAAGTTTTTGCAAAATTTTCAGATTTTGAAGATTTTTTACAGGTCCGGGGTCACAGATTTTTTCAAAAAATGCCTAAGTTCTTTTTTTCCTGATACGGCCTAGAAATTAATCCAAAACTCTCCGAATGGTGTTGCTAGCGTATTTTCAAGCATTTCTGGTTGTTTCGGGAGAAAAAGAATTTTTGGAAAATTTTCAGATTTTTAAGATTTTTTACAGGTCCGGGGTCACAGATTTTTTCAAAAAATGACTAAGTTCTTTTTCTCCTAATATGGCCTAGAAATTCATCCAAAACACTCCGAATGGTGTTGCTAGCGTATTTTCAAGCATTTCTGGTTGTTTCCAGAGAAAAAAAGATTTTGGAAAATTTTCAGATTTTTGAAGATTTTTTACAGGTCTGGGGTCACAGATTTTTTCAAAAAATGACTAAGTTCTTTTTCTCCCAATATGGCCTAGAAATTCATCGAAAACACTCCGAATGGTGTTGCTAGCGTATTTTCAAGCATTTCTGGTTGTTTCGAGAGAAAAAAAGTTTTTCCAAAATTTTAAGATTTTGAAGTTTTTTACAGGTCCGGGGTCACAGATTTTTTCAAAAAATGCCTGTGTTCTTTTTTTCTTGATACGGCCTAGAAATTAATCCAAAACTCTCCAAATGGTGTTGCTAGCGTATTTTCAAGCATTTCTGGTTGTTTCGGGAGAAAAAGAATTTTTGGAAAATTTTCAGATTTTTGAAGTTTTTTTACAGGTCCGGGGTCACAGGTTTTTTCAAAAAATGACTAAGCTTTTTTTTCTCATATGGCCTAGAAATTCATCGAAAACACTCCGAATGGTGTTTCTAGCGTATTTTCAGGCCTTTCTAGTTGTTTCGAGACAAAAAAAATTTATGTAAAATTTTCAGATTTTTTAAGATTTTTTACAGGTCCGGGGTCACAGAATTTTTTCAAAAATGACTAAGTTCTTGTTTTCCTCATATGGCCTAGAAATTCATCGAAAACACTCCGAATGGTGTTGCTAGCGTATTTTCAAGCATTTCTGGTTGTTTCGGGAGAAAAAGAATTTTTGGAAAATTTTCAGATTTTTAAAATTTTTTACAGGTCCGGGGTCACAGGTTTTTTCAAAAAATGACTAAGCTCTTTTTTCCTAATATGGCCTAGAAATTCATCCAAAACACTCCGAATGGTGTTTCTAGCGTATTTTCATGCCTTTCTAGTTGTTTCGAGAGAAAAAGAATTTTTGGAAAATTTTCAGATTTTTGAAGATTTTTTACAGGTCCGGGGTCACAGATTTTTTCAAAAATGACTAAGTTCTTTTTCTGCCAATATGGCCTAGAAATTCTTCCAAAACACTCCGAATGGTGTTTCTAGCGTATTTCAGGCATTTCTAGTTGTTTTGAGAGAAAAAATATTTATGTAAAATTTTCAGATTTTTGAAGATTTTTTACAGGTCCGGGGTCACAGATTTTTTCAAAAATGACTAAGTTCTTGTTTTCCTCATATGGCCTAGAAATTCATCGAAAACACTCCGCATGGTGTTGCTAGCGTATTTTCAAGCATTTCTGGTTGTTTCGAGAGAAAAATCTTTAATAAGAAATTTTCAGATATTTTTACTTTTTACCGGTCAATGGTCCAGATTTTTGAAAGATCACTCGGTGCTTCATTTGCAATACATGCCCTGCAACTTTTCAAGATAACTTTTTTTCCTGTTTTAATATATCATGAGCCGTCAGGTTGTTTGGAGTGAAAAATTTTGTTTTTTTCATGCCTATTTCTCAATCTTTTTTGCATAAATAATGCATCGTTTTTTAATCTTTACAAATATTTTTCAGATGTCACTTGGATGCTGACAGACTTGATTCACAATGACTTCAGAAAGGTATTTGACTTTCCTTTATTTATTTCCATCCATATTCTTTATTTACAAAATTTTCAGATTTTTTGAAGATTTTTTACAGGTCCGGGGTCACAAATTTTTTCAAAAAATGACTAAGTTCTTTTTCTCCCAATATGGCCTACAAATTCATCCAAAACACTTCGAATGGTGTTTCTAGCGTATTTCCAGGCATTTCTAGTTGTTTCGAGAGAAAAAAAATTTATGTAAAATTTTCAGATTTTTGAAGATTTTTTACAGGTCCGGGGTCACAGATCTTTTCAAAAATGACTAAGTTCTTTTTTCCTCAAATGGCCTAGAAATTCTTCGAAAACACTCCGAATGGTGTTGCTAGCGTATTTTCAAGCATTTTTTGTTGTTTTGAGAGAAAAAAAGTTTTTGCAAAAATTTAAGATTTTGAAGATTTTTTACAGGTCCGGGGTCACCTATTTTTTCAAAAAATGCCTATGTTCTTTTTTTCCTGATACGGCCGTGATATTTAATCCAAAACACTCCAAATGATGTTTCTAGCGTATTTTCAGGCATCTATGGTTGTTTCGAGAAAAAAACTTTAATAAGAAATTTTCAGATATTTTTACTTTTTACCGGTCAATGGTCCAGTTTTTTCAAAGATCACTCGGTGCTTCATTTGCAATACATGCCCTGCAACTTTTAAAGATAACTTGTTTCCCTGTTTTAATATATCATGAGCCGTTAGGTTGTTTGGAGTGAAAAATCTTGTTTTTTTCATGCCTATTTCTCAATCTTTTTTGCAGCAATAATGCATCGTTTTTTAATCTTTACAAATATTTTTCAGATGTCACTTGGATGCTGACAGACTTGATTCACAATGACTTCAGAAAGGTATTTGACTTTCCTTTATTTATTTCCATCCATATTCTTTATTTACAAAATTTTCAGATTTTTTGAAGATTTTTTACAGGTCCGGGGTCACAAATTTTTTCAAAAAATGACTAAGTTCTTTTTCTCCCAATATGGCCTAGAAATTCATCCAAAATACTCCGAATGGTGTTTCTAGCGTATTGCCAGGCATTTCTAGTTGTTTCGAGAGAAAAAAAATTTATGTAAAATTTTCAGATTTTTCAAGATTTTTTACAGGTCCGGGGTCACAGATTTTTTCAAAAATGACTAAGTTCTTTTTCTCCCAATATGGCCTAGAAATTAATCCAAAACACTCCGAATGGTGTTTCTGGCGTATTTCCAGGCATTTCTAGTTGTTTCGAGAGAAAAAAAATTTATGTAAAATTTTCAGATCTTTGAAGATTTTTTACAGGTCCGGGGTCACAGATTTTTTCAAAAATGACTTAGTTCTTGTTTTCCTCATATTGCCTAGAAATTCATCGAAAACACTCCGAATGGTGTTTCTATTGTATTTTCAGGCCTTTCTAGTTGTTTCGAGACAAAAAAAATTTATGTCAATTTTTCAGATTTTTGAAGATTTTTTACAGGTCCGGGGTCACAGATTTTTTCAAAAATGACTAAATTCTTGTTTTCCTCATACGGCCTAGAAATTAATCCAAAACACTCCGAATGGTGTTGCTAGCGTATTTTTAATCATTTCTGGTTGTTTCGAGAGAAAAAGAATTTTTGGAAAATTTTCAGATTTTTGAAGATTTTTTACAGGTCCGGGGTCACAGACTTTTCAAAAAATGACTAAGTTCTTTTTCTCCCCATATGGCCTAGAAATTCATCCAAAACACTCCGAATGGTGTTTCTGGCGTATTTCCAGGCATTTCTAGTTGTTTCGAGAGAAAAAAAATTTATGTAAAATTTTCAGATTTTTGAAGGTTTTTTAGAGGTCCGGGGTCACAGATTTTTTCAAAAATGACTAAGTTCTTGTTTTCCTCATATGATCTAGAAATTCATCGAAAACACTCCAAATGGTGTTGCTAGCGTATTTTCAAACATTTTAGGTTGTTTCGAGAGAAAAAAAGTTTTTGCAAAATTTTCAGATTTTGAAGACTTTTTACTGGTCTGGGGTCACAAAATTTTTCAAAAAATGACTAAGTTCTTTTTCTCCTAATATGGCCTAGAAATTCATCCAAAACACTCCGAATGGTGCTTCTAGCGTATTTTCAGGCATTTCTAGTTGTTTCGAGAGAAAAAAAATTTATGTCAATTTTTCAGATTTTTGAAGATTTTTTACAGGTCCGGGGTCACAGATTTTTTCAAAAATGACTAAATTCTTGTTTTCCTCATACGGCCTAGAAATTAATCCAAAACTCTCCGAGTGGTGTTGCTAGCGTATTTTTAATCATTTCTGGTTGTTTCGAGAGAAAAAGAATTTTTGGAAAATTTTCAGATTTTTGAAGATTTTTTACAGGTCCGGGGTCACAGATTTTTTCAAAAAATGACTAAGTTCTTTTTCTCCCCATATGGCCTAGAAATTCATCCAAAACACTCCGAATGGTGTTTCTGGCGTATTTCCAGGCATTTCTAGTTGTTTCGAGAGAAAAATATTTATGTAAAATTTTCAGATTTTTGAAGATTTTTTACAGGTCCGGGGTCACAGATTTTTTCAAAAAATCCCGAAGTTCTTTTTTTCCTTATACGGCCTAGAAATTAATCCAAAACTCTCCGAATGGTTTTGCTAGCGTATTTTTAAGCATTTCTAGTTGTTTCGAGAGAAAAAGAATTTTTGGAAAATTTTCAGATATTTGAAGATTTTTTACAGGTCCGGTGTCACAGATTTTTTCAAAAAAGGACTAAGTTCTTGTTTTCCTCATATGGCCTAGAAATTCATCCAAAACACTCCGAATGGTGTTTCTAGCGTATTTTCAGGCATTTCTGGTCGTTTCGGGAGAAAAAGAATTTTCGGAAAATTTTCAGATTATTAAAATTTTTTACAGATCCGGGGTCACAGGTTTTTTCAAAAAATGCCTAAGTTCTTTTTTTCCTGATACGGCCTAGAAATCAATCCAAAACTCTCCGAATGGTGTTGCTAGCGTATTTTCAAGCATTTCTGGTTGTTTCGGGAGAAAAAGAATTTTTGGAAAATTTTTAGATTTTTGAAGATTTTTTACAGGTCCGGGGTCACAGATTTTTTCAAAAAAGGACTAAGTTCTTGTTTTCCTCATATGGCCTAGAAATTCATCCAAAACACTCCGAATGGTGTTTCTAGCGTATTTTCAGGCATTTCTGGTCGTTTCGGGAGAAAAAGAATTTTCGGAAAATTTTCAGATTATTAAAATTTTTTACAGATCCGGGGTCACAGGTTTTTTCAAAAAATGCCTAAGTTCTTTTTTTCCTGATACGGCCTAGAAATCAATCCAAAACTCTCCGAATGGTGTTGCTAGCGTATTTTCAAGCATTTCTGGTTGTTTCGGGAGAAAAAGAATTTTTGGAAAATTTTTAGATTTTTGAAGATTTTTTACAGGTCCGGGGTCACAGATTTTTTCAAAAAAGGACTAAGTTCTTGTTTTCCTCATATGGCCTAGAAATTCATCCAAAACACTCCGAATGGTGTTTCTAGCGTATTTTCAGGCATTTCTGGTCGTTTCGGGAGAAAAAGAATTTTTGGAAAATTTTCAGATTATTAAAATTTTTTACAGATCCGGGGTCACAGGTTTTTTCAAAAAATGCCCAAGTTCTTTTTTTCCTGATACGGCCTAGAAATCAATCCAAAACTCTCCGAATGGTGTTGCTAGCGTATTTTCAAGCATCTCTGGTTGTTTCGGGAGAAAAAGAATTTTTGGAAAATTTTCAGATTTTTGAAGATTTTTTACAGGTCCGGGGTCACAGATTTTTTCAAAAAAGGACTAAGTTCTTGTTTTCCTCATATGGCCTAGAAATTCATCCAAAACGCTCCGAATGGTGTTTCTAGCGTATTTTCAGGCCTTTCTAGTTGTTTCGAGACAAAAAAAATTTATGTAAAATTTTCAGATTTTTTAAGATTTTTTACAGGTCCGGGGTCACAGATTTTTTTCAAAAATGACTTAGTTCTTGTTTTCCTCATATTGCCTAGAAATTCATCGAAAACACTCCGAATGGTGTTGCTAGCGTATTTTCATGCCTTTCTAGTTGTTTCGAGAGAAAAAGAATTTTTGGAAAATTTTCAGATTTTTGAAGATTTTTTACAGGTCCGGGGTCACAGATTTTTTCAAAAATGACTAAGTTCTTTTTCTGCCAATATGGCCTAGAAATTCTTCCAAAACACTCCGAATGGTGTTTCTAGCGTATTTCCAGGCATTTCTAGTTGTTTTGAGAGAAAAAATATTTATGTAAAATTTTCAGATTTTTGAAGATTTTTTACAGGTCCGGGGTCACAGATTTTTTCAAAAATGACTAAGTTCTTGTTTTCCTCAAATGGCCTAGAAATTCATCGAAAACACTCCAAATGGTGTTGCTAGCGTATTATCAACCATTTTTGGTTGTTTTGAGAGAAAAAAAGTTTTTGCAAAATTTTCAGATTTTGAAGATTTTTTACAGGTCCGGGGTCACAGATTTTTTCAAAAATGACTAAGTTCTTGTTTTCCTCATATGGCCTAGAAATTCATCGAAAACACTCCGAATGGTGTTTCTAGCGTAATTCCAGGCATTTCTAGTTGTTTCGAGAGAAAAAAAATTTATGTAAAATTTTCAGATTTTTGAAGATTTTTTACAGGTCCGGGGTCACAGATTTTTTCAAAAAATGACTAAGTTCTTTTTCTCCCAATATGGACGAGAAATTCATCGAAAACACTCCAAATGGTGTTTCTAGCGTAATTCCAGGCATTTCTAGTTGTTTCGAGAGAAAAAAAATTTATGTAAAATTTTCAGATTTTTGAAGATTTTTTACAGGTCCGGGGTCACAGATTTTTTCAAAAAATGACTAAGTTCTTTTTCTCCCAATATGGACGAGAAATTCATCCAAAACACTCCAAATGGTGTTTCTAGCGTATTTCCAGGCATTTCTAGTTGTTTCGAGAGAAAAAAAATTGATGTAAAATTTTCAGATTTTTGAAGATTTTTTACAGGTCCGGGGTCACAGATTTTTTCAAAAATCCCTAAGTTCTTTTTTTCCTGATACGGCCTAGAAATTCATCGAAAACACTCCGAATGGTGTTGCTAGCGTATTTTCAAGCATTTCTGGTTGTTTCGAGAGAAAAAGAATTTTTGCAAAATTTTCAGATTTTTGAAGATTTTTTAGAGGTCCGGGGTCACAGATTTTTTCAAAAAATGTCTAAGTTCTTTTTCTCCCAATATGGCCTAGAAATTCATCCAAAACACTCCGAATGGTGTTGCTAGCGTATTTTCAAGCATTTCTGGTTGTTTCGAGAGAAAAAGAATTTTTGGAAAATTTTCAGATTTTTGAAGATTTTTTACAGGTCCGGGGTCACAGATTTTTTCAAAAAATGACTAAGTTCTTTTTCTCCCAATATGGCCTACAAATTCATCCAAAACACTCCGAATGGTGTTTCTAGCGTATTTCCAGGCATTTCTAGTTGTTTCGAGAGAAAAAAAATTTATGTAAAATTTTCAGATTTTTGAAGATTTTTTACAGGTCCGGGGTCACAGATTTTTTCAAAAATGACTAAGTTCTTGTTTTCCTCATATGGCCTAGAAATTCATCGAAAACACTCTGAATGGTGTTGCTAGCGTTATTTCAAGCATTTCTGGTTGTTTTGAGAGAAAAAGAATTTTTGGAAAATTTTCAGATTTTGAAGATTTTTTACAGGTCCGGGGTCACAGATTTTTTTAAAAAATGACTAAGTTCTTTTTCTCCCAATATGGCCTAGAAATTCATCCAAAACACTCCGAATGGTGTTTCTAGCGTATTGCCAGGCATTTCTAGTTGTTTCGAGAGAAAAAAAATTTATGTAAAATTTTCAGATTTTTCAAGATTTTTTACAGGTCCGGGGTCACAGATTTTTTCAAAAAATGACTAAGTTCTTTTTCTCCCAATATTGCCTGGAAATTCATCCAAAACACTCCGAATGGTGTTTCTAGCGTATTTCCAGGCATTTCTAGTTGTTTCGAGAGAAGAAAAATTTATGTAAAATTTTCAGATTTTTGAAGATTTTTTACAGGTCCGGGGTCACAGATTTTTTCAAAAATGACTAAGTTCTTGTTTTCCTCAAATGGCCTAGAAATTCATCAAAAACACTCCGAATGGTGCTGCTAGCGTATTTTCAAGCATTTTTGGTTGTTTTGAGAGAAAAAAAGTTTTTGCAAAATTTTAAGATTTTGAATATTTTTTACAGGTCCGGGGTCATAGATTTTTTCAAAAAATGACTAAGTTCTTTTTCTCTTCATATGGCCTAGAAATTCATCGAAAACACTCCGAATGGTGTTGCTAGCGTATTTTCAAGCATTTCTGGTTGTTTAGAGAGAAAAAGAATTTTTGGAAAATTTTCAGATTTTTGAAGATTTTTTACAGGTCCGGGGTCACAGATTTTTTTCAAAAAAGGACTAAGTTCTTTTTCGTCCAATATGTGCCTAGAAATGTCATAGCCAAACACTCCGAATGGTGTTTCATGCGTATTTCTCAGCGGCATTGCTGTTGTTTGAGAGAAAAAGAATTTTGGAAAATTTTCAGATTTTTGAAAGATTTTTTTACAGCTCGGGGTCACAGATTTTTTCAAATGACTAAGTTCTTGTTTTCCTCATATGGCCTAGAAATTCTCGAAAACACTCCGAATGGTGTTGCTAGCGTATTTTCAGCATTTCTGGTTGTTTCGAGAGAAAAGAATTTTTGGGAAAATTTTCAGATTTTGAAGATTTTTTACAGGTCCGGGGTCACAGATTTTTTTCAAAAAATGACTAAGTTCTTTTTCTCCCAATATGGCCTAGAAATTTCATCCAAAACCTCCGAATGGTGTTTCTAGCGTATTTCCAGAGCATTTCTAGTTGTTTCGAGAGAAAAAAAATTTTGTAAATTTTCAGTTTTTGAGAGATTTTTTACAGGTCCAGGGTCACAGATTTTTTCAAAAATGACTAAGTCTTGTTTTCCTCATGATGGCTAGAAATTCATCGAAAACACTGCTCCGAATGGTGTTGCTACGCTTTTTCAAGCATTTCTGTTTGTTTGAGGAAAAAGAATTTTTGGACCAAATTTTCAGTATTTTTGAAGATTTTT